GCCCAAAATGCCTGGCTTATTGATTTAAATGAGGTATCTCATTATTTTATTTTCTTGGGTTGGCCTCATGCTTCAATCCTCCTAGTTACCACTGCCTCAATGTCTGGGATTGCAGGACTGAGCTACCACTCCAGGCCATATTCTTGTGTGTGTGTGTGTGTGTACATGTGCCCTAGGCATGGAGCATGAGAGAGGTAGACAATGACTCTGGTAATGGTTGTGGGAGTTTGCCGTGTGCATTGCAGAGTGTTTACCATCACCCCAGCCCTTAACCCTCTAGATGTCAGTAGTACCATCTGCCTTCCGGGTGTGACAACCAAAAATGCCTCCAGACATCGCCAAATGCTTCCAACAAAGGAGATACTTTACTCCTGTTGTTGCCAACCAAGTTTATCATGAAGATGAGGATGGTGATTTTCCGAGCCCTTGTGCGTGAACATGATGTCAGAGTTTTCCAATATTCCCTATAACTGGCTTTCTTGCCTGATGCTCTAGCTGATGGAACCCAAAATAAAACAAAATACTTCTTCTAAGGGGAGACCTTGCCTATATTAACTGGAAGGTTTTATTTATCTTACCAGCATAGATAATCCTCTGTGTGTGTGTGTGTATGTGTGCGTGTGTGTGTACATGTCTGTCCTGGGGCTTGAACTTAGGGCCTGGGTGCCGTCCCTGAGCTTTTTTTGCTCAAGGCTAGTGCTCTTACCAGATGAACCACAGCTCCACTTCCGGCTTTTTTGGTGGTTAACTGGATATCAGCGTCTCACATGGGCTGTCTTTGAACTGTGATCCTCAGATCTCCGTCTCCTGAGTTGCTAGGATTACAGGTGTGAGCCACTGGTGCCCTGCACCTTCTTGTGTTTTGAAGTGCAAAATGCTGTTTCAGGACCCTTCTCAACATGCAGCTCCTCTCTCTTGTACTTGTGTACTGGGACACTATGGTGTTTCCATCCTGTTCACTTGGTGGGCTCTTCTTTCTCATTTTGCCCAGGTGGACAAACTCTCCATCTCTTTCTTTTTTCTTCCGGACATCTCTGTTCTCCACCCCCACCCCAGCTGAGAACTCCCACATCCTTCCTGCCCCTCACCCCCACCCCTCTTTTCCACAGAACCTTTTCCAAGCCCGTCTCCACAGGGACATCTTTCCTAACTCTGTCTAGTCATCTCTCTTCCCTTCCGCAGCTTTCCCATGACCACGTCTATTCACCCCTCAGAGGGCAGCATCATTTGAAAATTGATGGAGTCAAAAGCTGTCTTCTGCTACCTCTTTTGAGCTATCTGCACAGCAGTTGTGGTGAACTTCAGAACTGTATTTATTTACATTTATCTTGGTGAAACATTTTGTGTTCTATGTCTGCTTATAGTTAAAGAATTAAGGTCCATGCAGTAAGTAACTGGCTATTTATAGAGTCAGAGTCCATTCACTAGCAGACATGAAGCACAGACCCTAATCTATATCCTTGGGCAGTTTCTCTATTTGAGCATTGCCAGTTTCGTCCTCTACTCCAAATTGTTTGTTTTTTGTTTCTGCCCCAGTCCCCCAAATTTTTCCCTCCCTTACTTGGATCTGACATTAAGCCAACATTACAATCTCCTATATAATTAAAATTTGGCTGAAAAGTTATATGAAATTTCCAGAGCAAGAATGAGTGTGAGAGAGGGCAGGAAGGGGGGGGGGGAGAGAGAGAGAGAGAGAGAGAGACTTAAAAAGAAAGAGTTAAATATGTAGAGTAATAGAAATATATAGAGAAATGAAGGATCTTGGGATATGTATCATCACAAGTTTGGGACCCAGTTATGTCAGAACACATTTACGCTTTTAAGTGTGTGAGTACATTTACTATTGAGCCAACAACATGTTCAAAGGCTACTTAGCATATTTGGGGGGAGAAGAATGGGCACATCCTGTGTTTAATGAATCCAGTTACCAAAAGAAAAGCTTGCTCAGTGTATTCAGGAAGGCTTTTCCTTTGTACTAAAATATTGTCTAGACCACTGAGCTTTTATTTGTATAAAAAAATTCCCTAGTGAGCATTTTGGTGCTCTGGTTTTCATCAAGTTTGCATCTGGTGATGCATCTACAAGCCATTGGCATGATTGTCCATCACTCTGATGAAGGCAAAGAGCAGACCATGTGTTCTCTTCATTTAGATGTTGGTCTCAGCAATTTGAAGAGCTGCTCTCCTCTTCCTCGCCTCTTTTTCATCATCAATGCCATCCACACAGTGGTAATTCATACAGTTTTCCAATGAAAGTGTCCATTTCACACTGAGAGGTATGAACTGTTGTCAGTCCCTTTTGCAATATTTATAGATAAGCTTTCACTTGCTTGTTCTCTTGAATATATTTCAGTTCTGCACCTAGGAGCTCATCTTCCTTTCCTAAGAGCTTTACAGAATTTTGGAGCATAAACTCATCTGGAGATTACATTTTAGAGATTCTCACCAGTGCAGAAAAAATTGAGCTGAGAACTACTTCAACCTAATCTTTTTTTTTTAATCTTTGCTGATGTTGGGTTTAAATTCCAGCTCTACCATTTTCTAGCTCTGTGATTTGGAGCATGAAGTCTCAATATTTACCTTTATGAGATGTATTTCATAAGGCTGTTCTGAGGATTGGTTGAGTTAATATATGTAAAGGCACTTAAAGCTATAAGGACATAGTAAAGACTCAAGAAAAAAATCAAGGTTGGTGTCAGTGGCTCACACCTGTAAATTCTAGTTACCATGGAGGCTGAGATCTGAGAATCACAGGTTGTGGTAGAATGCTAGTCTTGAGCAAAAGGCTCCAAATTCAAGGTATATACACACAAAAAAGTCAGTCCTTTATTGAGAAGTAATCAGAGAACAGTTCCAAAAGAAAATTCTTAGCATTTGTTTTGGAATTGCATCAGAACAGTAGACTCATTCTAACAATAATGAGTCAGAATACTGATCTTCATTGCCCCAAAGTTAGAAAGCTACAACCACAAATAGTTTTATAATACCAAACACTACTTTGTAGAGTGACTCATACACACACACACACACACACACACACACATGCGCGCATGCGTGCGTGTGTATGTATGTATAAATAAATAATTATGTGTGTGTGTGTATATATGTATATATGTATATATATACATATATATATATACATATATATATATATATACATATATATATATGTATATATATATATATATATACACACATATATATTTTGTCCGTTGTGGGGCCTGAACTCTGGGCCTGGGTGCTGTCCCTCAGTGTTGGGAGCCAAAAGTTGAGTCTCTCAACATAATAGGCTTAACTATCTCACTGGAACAACTTGAGGCTGAGTTTACAGAATCCCACCTTTTTACCACGCCCTAAGTAAACACTCTGCAGCTGCTAAAGACCGACCATCTTTTCACCTTGCCCTAACATCCTACAGCTGCTTCGGCCAATGAAGCTTCCTTAACGGCCAAGGATTCCAAGCATATAAATACAACTGTGTGAAAAATAAAATTTAGCAGTAGCAGCAGCAGCAGCTTGATCAGAATCCCTGTCTTGCTGTCATTCTTTGTGTCTCTTGTCCCTTCATTCCTTCTCGTTTAGGTTCATTGCCCTCCTTGAAGTCCTGCGGGTCGGGACACCTCAGCTCTTCAGCTCAAGGCTAGTGCTCTACCACTTGAGCCACAGCGCCACTTCTGGCTTTTTCTGCTTATGTGGTGCTGAGGGCTTCATGAATGCAAGGCAAACTACCACTGAGCCAGACCATCAATATATTTTTTTTTAATTTCAGTTTAAAAATAGCCAAAGGAGCTGGGTACCGGTGTCTCATGCCTGCATTTTCAACTACTCAAGAAGCTAAGATCTGGGGCTGGGAAGGTGGCTCAGTGGTAGAGCGCTTGCTTTGCATGCATGAGGCCCTGGGTTCGATTCCTCAGCACCACATGAGCAAAAAGAAAAAAAGCTGGAAGTGATGCTGTGGCTCAAGTGGTAGAGCACTAGCCTTGAGCTGAAGAGCTGAGGGACAGTGCCCAGGCCCAGAGTTCAGGCCCCACAACCGGACCCAAAAGAAAAAAAAAAAAAAAAGAAGAAGCTAAGATCTGAAAACTGGAAGTTAGAAGACAGCCTAGGAAAACTCCAAAGTAACAAGCAACAATCTGGGCTTAGAGACATGAGTTCAAGTGGCAGATCTCTGGCCAAGAAAATGTGAGTCCTTAAGTTCAAGTTCTGGTACTGTCAAAAAAAAGTTATCAGAGAGCTTGAATAATCATTTCTTTAAAGAAGATACACAAATGACCAATGAATACTTCAAAAGATGTTCAACATAACTAGCATTTAGGAAGAAGTAAGTCAAAAGAACAATCACATTCACACACATTGCCACAGTTATAGTCCTTCTTAAAAGGAAAACACAAATGTTGATAGGTTTATGGAGAAACTGGAGCTCTCACACTGTGCTGATAAGAATGTTAAATGGTATAACTGCTGTGGAATAAAGTTTAACAGTTTCTTGAACATTTAAAGATGAAATTCAAAGTAATTTATATACATATAAATAGTATTTCATTTCACAAAAGTCACAAAGTGAAAAGAATTCAAATGTCCATTGATGGATGAACAGGCACAAAGAAATATGAACTATCCCTACTACAGAGTGTTATTGAGCCAAAAAAATGGAATGAACTCTTGATTAATACCAAAATGTGAATGCCACTTGAAAATTCTGTGCTAAGTAGAAGAAACTAGATAATTAAAGGTCACATATTGTATGGTTTTATTCATATGAAGTGACCAGACGAAGTAAATTCACAGAGAAAGAACACAAGCTGGTAGTTACCAGGGATAGGCAGAAGAAAAGGATCAGGAATAGTGGGATGATGAAATGTTTAAAGATTGGTTAGGGATGATGGTGCACACAGTGAACATACTCACTACTCCTGTTGTAAAAGTTTTATTACTCCACTATCGTTCCACCTATTCTGGTGGTGACTGATTATATGCAGTGTTAGACGTCTGAGAGGCGTTATGGTTAAGACTGTGGCCTTGGAAAGCAGCGTAGTGTAAGTTTTTTGTTTGTTTTGCCGGTCATGGGGCTTGAACTCTGGGCTTGGGTGCTGTCCCTCAGCTCTTCAGCTCAAGGCTAGCACTCTACCACATGAGCCACAGTGCCTCTTCTGGCTTTTTCTGTTGATGTAGTACTGGGGAACCAAATCCAGGGCTTCATGCATGCTAGGTAAGCACTCTACCACTAAGCCATATCCCCAGCCCCTACACTGCATTGTTCTGACCTGTTCTTTTTTCGTTGTTGTTGTTGGCCGTGGGGCTTGAACTCTGGGGCTTAGGCGTTGTCCTTGTGCTCTTCAGCTCAAGGCGAACACTCTACCGCTTGAGCCACAGCACCACTTCTGGTTTTCTAGCGTTTTATTGGAGATAAGAGTCTCATGAACTTTCCTGCTCGGGCTGGCTTTGAACCTCGATTCTCAGATCTCAGCCTCCTGAGTAGCTAGGATTACAGGCATGAGCCACCAGCTCCCAGCTCTGCCCTATTCTTAACAGGTGAATTTGACAGATTGTATTGGCAGTGACATAAACTTTCTAAATTGTCAGCTAACATATGTATTTCTGCAACTTGGGTAGTTGTCAAAATTGAAGATTAAACTTTAGAGCTTTAAGCTAATCATCAAAAGGTAATTTTGAGGAGCCAATTGTGGTGCACATCTGTGGTCCTAGCTATTCTGGAGGCAGGAGGTTTGTGGTTCAAGCCCAGCTTGAGCAAAAGGCAGTGTGCAAACCTATCTGAACAATCAACAATCAACTAAAAGCAAAAAGACTAAGGAGGTGGTAGAACATTACCTAGCAAGTGCAAGACTCTGAGATCAGTCCCTAGTACTGCCAAAAACAAAACAAAACACCCTACTAAAATTGCTCTAATGAAGTTAAGAGGGTTGAAAGACTTTTGATATAACAAAACATTTTCCCTCCTCTACCCAGGAGTACAGATTGGAAGGGGCATGGTTTAAAGCCAGCCTGTACAAAAAGTTAGTGAGACACCACTTCAACAAACAAGCATGGGTATGGTGGCCCACCTTTGTAATTCTAACGATGGTGGAAGCACACATAGGAAGAGTTCAGACTGAGGTTTGCCCCTGGACAAATATATGAAACTCTATCTAAAAAAAAATCACAAAGCACTGAAGGATTGGGGATATATGGCCTAGCAAGCCCTGAGTTCAAACCTCAGTATTAATAAAAACTACAACAAAAGCCTTCTATTCTCGATTGTTTATGTGAACAAATATTCTTAATGGTTGTATAAAAAGGAATAAAATCTATTCCAATGCTATCTTATTATAGCAAGATGTACATACACACATATACACACTCTGGCTAAGATCAAGAGAGGTATTTCAAGGCATCCCATACTATACACACATACAAAACCTTAGTGCCTCTTACTACTGAGATTGTTTCTTGCAGTCTCTATGGATCAGAAGCATTTACTGCCTTACACCTTTTCCAAGGAGTGTATAACTGACTAGTGCTACTCCTAAGCCACTTATTGCTCAACTGAATTAATTAAAAGGAAAAGACCATACTTTTGGTAGAGAGATGTATAAGCAGCTTATTGAATAATAGAATTCGACTGATTACAAACAAAACAGTTCACATTTTCCCATTATTGCTTTTAAAGCTACCCTGTCTAAATCATTTTGCCCATTCCACAGCTTTTGGGTCAATTGAAACATTTAAAATGTCATGTTTATGACTAAACAGGATAGATTTCCTTGCTGTGACTCCTTTGAGAATAAACTGATAGTTTACAAAAATGAATACCAGGAAGCTGAGGGAAGTGAAGTTTATGGGAAGGAGGAATGTTGAACAAATATAGTCATAATACTAAACATACATATGTGAAAATGGAACTAGGTAAATTGCGGGGATGGGTGAGGTTGGATGGATGGTAGGAGGAATGATGGAAGAAGTGACACTGATCAAGAAGTAATATACCCATAAACGGATAGCTTGAACCAAAATCCCACCGTATACTTATTTAAAGAAAAACTTAAAAGTACATTTAATTTAAAAATACATTCAGCACATGTTCAGAAAATGAAGTCTTGTATCTATGTGGGCCTGTTCTGTTCTATTCTAAATTTTTCTCTTCTACCTTACAGTTTATTAAGAAAAATTGTTGTTTAGGAAGACAAAAATAGTTAGACTGTTGTCACCACTCAGGTTAAAGGTTCCCTAATACAGTGATTATTAAAGTATTTGTTTCAAAATATCTTCAAAAACTTTATATCTTGGTGGACCCATTGCAACAATGAAATGTACAAGTTGTTATGTCGAAAAATGAACTTTACAACTTTGGCAGGTGGCGAGGGGGGGAGGGAGGGAAGGGCGGAGATGGGAAGGAATGGAAAGGGGAAACAAAGGAGGAGGCAACAATGCTTGATAAGAAATGTACTCATTACCTTGCCCATGTAATTGTAACTCCTCTTTATGGTATTTTCACAATAAAACAACAACAACAACAACTTTATACTTTGCCCTTAACAATTGTTCAGACCTAGTTTTTTAAATCATTGATATAATATTAAGGATGTAATTTCTATTGTATTTTAAATATTGACACATAAAAACAACTGTATTAACTCCTAAGAATTTTATTCCTGAATAGTTTAGTTATTTTGTAACCACTATCATCAATTAGTTGGTTAGCATACCACTACCTTAACAACCAGGAACGAATTTGTTATCCATTGAAAAACTTTTCTCTAATGGTGGGAAAGTTTCCAAGGTTTTCTTGCTTCTTTGGGCTTGTATTTCCATCACACTTCTCCAGTAGAATTTTATCCTGTTATCTTGTTATGCTTGGAAGTTTTTAAGAACCGCCCATCATAATTGTCTACAATAAAAATACTTATACAAATATAAATGTTTTGGTTTCCCAAGGTCTCTAAGATTGTGTTAATGGAATGAGTTATCAAATACGATCAATTGATCAAAAAATATATTTTTTATGAGAAATGTATTTATTTTAGGGAGCCTTTGCCTTCTAGTGTGGGTGCCTGAGGACAGTGAGAAAGAGTCCAGGAAGAGGAGTTGCAGTCTCTTTGGCGATGGAGCTGAGAGAAAGAGCCTACCCTAGGCCAAAACTGACCCTCAGCGCTTTCCCCAGACGGCTACCTCCTTCCAAAGGTTGGAGCTCACTAGGTTCTTTTTGTCTGTTTTACCATCTTTGTAAACTGGAGCCAATACAATACTTACACTATTACCTTTACAGAAAGGTTCACCTAAGACAATAATATAAAAAATAAAGGACTAGGGTGTAGTTGAGAGGTAGGACATTTGCTTAATAGGCATGAGGCCCTGAGTTCCATACAATGAGGTAAAAATTCTTTGTATCCACTAAAAACAAAATACAAATGGTGATTACTTTTATTAAAGAAAAGGACCTTTTTAAAATTTAGCCTCTGAGACTCAGAATTTGAATTGCAGGTTGATCAATGAAATGCTAGCTTAATCTGACCTGTTTAGTTTTACCTTGTTTATCTATAGTAAAATAAAGTTAAAACAAATGGTGCTTGGTGCCATGGCTCACGCCTGTAACCCTAGCTACTCAGGAGGCTGAGATCTGAGGATCATAGTTCAAAGGTAGCCAGGACAGGAAAGCCTGTGAGACACTTATCTCCAAGCACCAAAAAAAAAGCTGAAAGTACAGCAGTGTCTTAAGTGGTAGAGTAAAAAAGCTTAGGGACATTGCCTAGGCCCTGAATTTTAAGCCCTAGGATCAGCACCAAAAAAAAAAAAAGTATTTTTCTTGTACTCATTATCTTGCCCATGTAATTGTAACCCTCTGTACGGTATTTTCACACACACAAAAAAAAGATTAGAAAAAAAGTATTTTTCGGGGCTGGGAAGGTGGCTCAGTGGTAGAGCGCTTGCCTTGCATGCATGAGGCCTTGGGTTCGATTCCTCAGCACCACATAAACAAAAAGAAAAAAGCCGGAAGTGGTGCTGTGGCTCAAGTGGTAGAGTACTAGCCTTGAGCTGAAGAGCTGAGGGACAGCGCCCAGGCCCAGAGTTCAGGCCCCATGACCGGACCTCCTCCCCCCCCCCCCCCAAAAAAAAAGTATTTTTCTAAAGAAAAATGCAAAGGTCCTTAATGATCCTTGAAGTAATCTTAAAAATAAAATTTAACGAATTCTTACCAAGTCTAAAAGATTGTTTGATAATTCCAGTGGGAAGCTGGCCCTGGGTTAATTCTCAGCTTCAGGTCCCAAGCTAGCAGCTAGTTACCTAGGAATGAATTTGTGAATCACATAGTCACACCCTATGTACACACACCAAGATGCTTTTGGTTTTAGGAGATTTTCATTCAGGGATTTTGAGGAGGTAAGGGGTGGAGGGGGAGGACTATAAATCTCTAGAGTAAACAGATATAAAGAAATAGTAGGGAAGAAGGAGAGGGGATAAAAACAAAACAGGAAAAAAAATGCAACACCTTTGAAGTCTCCTCATCTTGATTCCATCAGTTAAATCCCCTGGAGAACAAACAAAGTGAGCGAGACTTTTGTAGTCCCAGGCTGGGTGGGTCCCAGAGAGGAGGTGGAGGTGGAGGTGTGGCCGCTGTCTCTTGTCAGCCTGCTTTCCACCCTGCTTTGAAGTTGACCTGAATGATTCTTTCACTGAGTTTTCAGTGTTACTGTGGCTATAATTCAAACTTGAAACAGGAACAAAGTGTTTTTCTTTTAATTTTACAAATCCTCTGTGAGAGGAGATACTCAGCATACAGATGGTTCCCTTCTGTTTCTCCCTCCTTGTTGGTACCTTTAGACTCCACATTTCTTGCCCATGCCTCGGAAACCCCTCTCCCTGCAGACCTGCTCAACAGAACATTTGCAGGAATCTGCTGGTGGGTCTAACAATGGGAGTAGCATTTCTGAAATTCTTCTTCCTCCTTCCTTCCCTCCCTTCTTTACTCACTGCCCCTTTCCTTTTCTTCTTTCCTATTTTCTTTTTCTTTTTTTCTTTTCTTTTTTTTGGGGGTCCAGAC